AATTTGTAATCAAATTAAAAAAATCAATCAAATTAAAATTTCTATTTACCTCTAAATTTTAGCAAAGTTGAAAAATTTAGAGGTAAATAGAAACAGATGATTAATGCGATTTAATGATACCCAAATTTTTTACTACCACATAAAACTGTTCCACGGAAGTGAAATAATAACCCAATACACAAAAAACCCGAAAGTATTGTGATTTAAAAGAAAAAATTTATGTTATTGGTGAAATATAGCAAATCTGTTTCTATTTACCCCAGCTGACCCTAACTAATTTCTTTATTTTATAATTTCCATTAAATAAAGATGAAAGATAAATTTTTTCAAAATATTAACTTCTTAAAAAACTTTTCAAAAAAAATTTTAGAAGATTTTTATAAATTTAAATCAAATAATTTAAATTTTTTCAATTGAAAACTTTCATTATTATATTGTCAAAAAATAAAATTTATAATCTTTCAAATTTTAATTGTTTTAAAAAATTGTCTTCAAATCATTCATTTTTAATAATTTTAATAAAGATTTAAAATTGAATAATTTTAAAACATTTTCTTGAGAATTCTCTAAAACTCAATTATTCTAAAAAATAGAATTGTAAAAAACTCTCGCAGCAGCAATTAACACTTAGAATTACTTCAATTTCAAAACTATTGAAATTTGAGTTTTTAATATTAATTATGAGTACATTTTGGAAAATTAAATTATCTTCATAATACTTTTATCTATAAAATTTACCATCAAATGCGTTTCCAATTATTATAAAGAAGTTTTTCGACAATTCAATTATTTTTTTCACTATTATAAGAAACGAAATATATCATGTACTATATATAATAAAAAAATTGTATAAATTGGCTGAAATTCATAAAAAAGACTTTAGCAATTCAGACAGACATTCATTTTTGTAAAAAATTTGTACATAAATTTATGTGTCAGTGATTTTGAAAATCAAAAATTTGTTAGTTACATTCAATATTATATTAAGTATTAAAAAACATGTTTCAAAATAATTTGGACTGATCCCTCTTCATAAAACTTTGTTTATTTGGAAGCGTTGTTTATCATGCTTATCAAATTCTATAAAGCTGTCAAAAAACAATTTCTTAGCGGGATGACTTTGCATAGAAATAAAAAAAGTCCGCACGAAATTACACAGGATTATTAACATCCTATTAAATAATTGCTTCTCTCTAAGCATTATATATTATTGTAAATAATATAAGATAAACATGTGAAAAGGAAGCAGGACAATTATTATGTAATATCTCACGTGCATACATACTACATAACCTTATATTAAAATAAATCGATTATTTATTTATATTTATTATTACATAGATAACAAAGAAAAACACCAATCCACCTGAAAATAACGATATTTTCTACTCAAAATAAAAGCAAAAACTTTATTTAATTGCGGACATCATAAAATCTTACATAAAATTTAAGAATTGAAATATCAACGTATTTACTTTTATCTATACATATAACTAAAAAGACAATGTTACACGATTTTGGACAAATTTTCGAATCTGCGAACGTGCGAACGACCGAACATCCGAACCACCTCGCGGTTTTTCACGTCAAAAACATGTAAACAGCAAAATCACACACGGTTCTTTCTTTTTCGAGGCTAAAATGAATCGAGCATAAACTTGGTTTTGTGGTGGCGCGTAGAAGCTTCCGTACGTAGGAGAGTCCAGAATACGGGTCTGTGATTGTGAACGTCGACACGTTGGTAGCGACGCGTCGGTTTTAAGGCCTGAGCAGAATAGAAACGTGACCGGAATCGTAACCGGAAGAATGAGTTAGAGAAGGACAAACAATCTATATATCCTTCTCTAACTCATTCTTCCGGTTGCGTTTGCGATTACAATTATATCTATTTAATATTCTCAGTTTTCATGAAGTAGTATAAAGAGCACTCACCCTATAGGCCGTTTTTGAAAATTCTTCCCCAGCCTTTCCAGATTTAATAGAAGCATTTACATATCCCCGATACTAACAACCCTAGCGGAAAAGCGAGGAATTACAGATCACGTGGTACATTGTTATATAAATGTTTGTGTAGAACTGTCAGTTGGCATTTTTTTTGAAATGTGTTTGATGCGAGTTAATTTTGTGTAATTATACATAAAAAAGTGAAAAATGAGGCTGCTAAATATTGATCAATGAATCAGCATTAACACAGGCAACTTTACTTGATACAAATTATTATGTATGTATTTGAATGTTAACAAAACACTTGCTGAACTTGTCATTATATTTTGTTTGTTTACATGTAAATATAACCTAAAAATAAAAATAATTAAGAAATTTCGTTTGAAATATATACGGCTACAATAAAAAAAATTATTTATATTTTTATTATTTTTATATAACTTACAGCAAATTATTGCAATAATTCCTTTATTATTTCATTATAAAACATAAATAAAAAGAAATATTTTATAAATCTAAATTATATATTCGTATATAAAAAAGCAAAAACTTACCAATTTTCAAAAAAAAAAAAATTTTCAAAAAATTTATGTTATATTTAAAATTTTTTGTGTGTAACTTTTTTCTTTCTTTACACTTTTTCTAAAATTATTATATATCACTTTACACTGTTTACTATATGAAAACAGCTGTCACTAGGCGCAGCCATATTTTGAAAACTTCTAAGTACACCGCTTTTCCGCTAGAGGCGTCATAATCGGAGATATGTAATTTCGGATTTATTCTCATGCAAGGTGCCTATAAGCTTAACAAGCAGTGAGTGCTCCTTATACTACTTCATGTCAGTTGTATATACTCCTGTCATTGTGTGCGCACGTTGGTGTGATTCGCTAGTTACGGAGCATTTACACCTTTGTTAAAAAAATTTTTTATTTTTGAATTTTCCGAAATACACAAACCTGATTGGTTGTTCACAATCTGATTGATAATGGACAACCAATCAGATCTTTGCATTTCCGAAAATCAAAATAAAAAATTTTTTTTACCAAAGGTGTAAATGCTCCATTAGTGTTGGTTGCATAGTGTTTTTAAGCAGGGTTAGGAATGTAAAGTACCTGAGGTAATCTATGTGGTTCTTTACACATGATGCATAAGGTGTTTCGTTTCACAATTCAGTATTAATTAATATTAATTATTATTAATTAATATAATTAATATTATTATTGAAGTTTATAATTTTTAGGTTATATTTTGTTTGCTTTTAATTATATTTATTAATATAATTAATATTATAATTGAATTTTCTAATTTTTAGGTTATATTTTGTGTTTTTTTTTACACTTTACACTGTAATATTGACACAAACGAAAAAATATTTTTTATATACAATTTATGCATACTTATATTTTGTAATATTTTTTCTCATACATAATCATAAATTTCTATATACATTTCTTTAAACTAAGGAACCAGTAATAAAAAATTTTAATTAATAAATTAAACAAAATTTAAATATTTATTACTTAATTTATATTATATGCAATATAATTATTAATTACTTTGAAAAATTAAATTAATATATAAATGTTTTAAAATTATTCACAATTAATTATTTGATTTGTTATTCAATATATTTTAATCCCATTAAATTATTTGAATTCTTCCGCCACTTTTGAAGAAACGAGAAGAAAAAAATGGCGTTCCGGTCTTCTAATAAAAGGACGGTTGGAAACACAATCGCCCATCCAGTTAAGGCCTTTTTCCAATAGGATCTTAAACTCTTGCGTTGCGTATGCATTGCGTCGGTTGCTATTGGCAACCAATGCTAAAATCAACGCGTCAGTCACGCAACGCAAAAGTTTAGGTTCCTATTGGAGAAAGGCCTTTAAGGTGCTTTTATACCTCAAATTTCGATCGGATGAACATTATTTCTGGACCGTGAAAAGTCATTTTCACGGCGGGTATTTTTGAATTGTTTTATACAAAAAATGTTTTTTTAAGAAATATAATATTAAATAATTGTTTTAATATGTAAGAACACTTTAAAATAGTGATAGAGAGATGATTTGATTAAAAAATTTAGCAAATTTTGCTTTAAAACGTTTTCTGCTACAAGAAAGTGTAAAATGACGATGTTTGTGAAATGGTTTGTACAGTGCTTCTTCCTTGTGAGTGTCTCTCAGAGTTTTGTTTATGTTATGTCGGTTCTTTTTAACTTGTAATAAATAATGAGTGCTGAAAATAAATCGGTAAGTTGAAATGTTTATCAAATAAATTTAAATTCAACTAATTGTTTCGAATAACTGAAAGAAACATGTACACATGTACACTGTACAAACCATTTCACAAACATCGTCATTTTACACTTTCTTGTAGCAGAAACGTTTTAAAGCAAAATTTGCTAAATTTTTTAATCAAATCATCTCTCTATCACTATTTTAAAGTGTTCTTACATATTAAAACAATTATTTAATATTATATTTCTTAAAAAAACATTTTTTGTATAAAACAATTCAAAAATACCCGCCGTGAAAATGACTTTTCACGCATTTTTACGGTCCAGAAATAATGTTCATCCGATCGAAATTTGAGGTATAAAAGCACCTTTATATGTAGAGATTAGTGTGAGAAACGGAAACCGAGACGCTCCGCTTTGCGTGAGACTGACAAAGACAGATACGATTTTTGTCTATCTCACACAATGCGCGGAAAAGCGGAGCGACTCGGTAAGTGTGGAATCAGCATAATTAAATATCGTCAGGTAAATGGAGCGGTCACACCTCGGCTGCAGGAGCAGTTGCCCATGGCAACCGTGTAAGAGTAAGAGAGATAGAAGATTTTCCATCTCTCTTACTCTTACACGGTTGCCATTGGCAACTGCTCCTGCAGGCGAGGTGTGACCGCTCCAAAAAGCGAACAAAACGCTGCCACCATAATTTCACTGTGTGTTAGCCCAATGTTAACAAAACTCAAGGCGCTACCTGGTGACATTTTTGAGAACATACTCAAACGTAGACTCACTCTGAGGCTGACGGTCGGAACAAAGCCATTAGAGAAAGCGAGAACTCTCGTGATTCACTTTAGTTGAGTGTTAAGTGATAGAGACCGACTGAGAGCTTTATAGTCAGCGGGCCTATATATTGAAGCAGAGAATGCAAAAGCAGAACAGGCAGAGAAAGACAGTGGTGTGACGTAAACGACTGACTACCTTTCCAAACAAATATCAAAATCAGCTGTGTGGCAGTCTTTGTTCGTGTTCGTTTTGGCAGCTGAAAGAGTCTCTCCTTTGTGGCGTCAATTGAGCAGCGTTCGCGGAGCGCAGTTCTCACGTGTCAAACATTTAAAACGCACGCTGCGGCCTTCGGAGCAGGAAGAAAGCAGGGCTAGAGATTTTTTCTGCCTGCGACCGTGGCTGCGTCAGCGTAATTCAGCCCCAACTCTAGTCCCCCAAAGCCATCCTCGGGATAATAATCGTGTGAAAAACGGGGCGATACGCGCATAAGCCTGGCCTCGAGCGGCGAGTCGGACGACGGTGGACTCGCTCCGCCACCGCGCAAAAGGTCCCGTAGTTCTATCCCGACTACTCCACGGCCAGCGGACGAGCACCACACCAACGCAGACATGGAGAACTATCGGTAATCCTTGCTAAACTCTCTATCCACTCCACATGTCAAAACACCACGAGGTCAAACACCCACTTAGTCCGCCAGACCAAATAGTGACAGTTGATTATTTACCTTTGTTGACCCTGTGTATTATTTGGCCCATTAACTTCTAACCATTTTTAGCTGTTCAGATCGCTCGAGAAATGTTAACATCGTTTATTAAGTTGTTCATTTCATTTTTTAAACTAACATCTCTGTTTAGTTTAGTGGGTGGTAAGCTCTTTACAATTAAACAGCTGTCATCAAATCTTACATCTCAATTTCTATTCAAGAAGGTCCGTTAACTTGACGCGCAATGTTATTGAATGTGAAAAGTTAGTCTATTTTCTGATTAGTCCTTTCCGAGTCCAATAATACAATTTTTCAAACCTTTATATTTAATATTAATAATTAGTCTTGAATATACATGTCAAAGGCAAAAGACAATGTAAACTGGACCAGTTCCCTCCTCTTCAGAGATTTCTTTATTGTATCAATAAACCACTGGAAATAAAGGAATTTCTGAAATGGGAACTTGTCTTTTGTGCATCGCTTGTGCTGCGAGTGTTCGTATATACAACAGTAATTATTAATATATTTTTACGCATTCAATTTTGCATATTCTCAGCTTTAAAATTAATCTTTTAACCAATTAGCAAATGCTCTACTAACATTTTATACAAAGTTACAAAAAAAATTTTAAACATTTATTAAAAAATCTTTGTCAAAACTATAATAACCAATTAATAGAATATTTAAAAAACGTATCGATTTATTTATTTGAGAATTTTTAATATAAATTATTACATAGTTATTGACGTTTCAAAAATCAAAATTGTTTCTTTCAAAATCTTTCTTTTTGGATAATTTTAAATTAAAATCTTTATACAAGTTCTGATATATTCTAAAAAAAAGTTATAGTTATTCAAACTTTATTACGGAATTATTGATTTAAAAAAAACATGAATTATTGTCGCATAGTTTTAATTTTTAATTCAAAAATTTTAATTTCTTTGATAAAAATATAAATATTTCCTCATTTTTATATTAATAAATTTATCTCTTAAGGAAGCGTTCACAAATGATGTCACGCAATTTTTAAAGATTTTTTACACCTACCCCTTCTGACACGCTATTTTCCTATATTTTCTTATAGAAAAAATACATTGTCAAGTTTGGCAAAGATCTCCCCCCCCCTTCCTGTCAGTGCGTGACATCATTTGTAAACGTTCCCTAAGTATTTTTCTTAAAAATGTTACGTTAATAAAAAAAAAATTTTATTTAAATAAAAAAATCATGATTTTCGTAAGCACTGAAATACTTTCACAAGGCTAGAAAAAGTACCTTCTTGATGTAAGAAAACGTGATGTTATAAACAGGATATCTAGTGATCCTGGATAACCGTAAATTTCTAAAAAAAATTACGAATTCGTTAAAACATACAGAAAATTTTAATCTAGGAACATTATTTTGTAATAAAATTTAAAAAAAAATATTTTGGACCATGTTTGAATTTTTATTTTTTGAAATAATGAACATTTTTAAAAATCCATTTAATTATTCGAGATTATGAAAAATGTATTTTAAAAAATTGACAATGAAAAATTATAAAGATTGTCAAAATTTAATTTTTGAAATGATCATCAGTAAAATTTCAAGCAATCAAATTTTAAGTTGTTTCAAGGCATCAATTATTTTAACAAAAACATCTTAGATGCAAAAACTTCCGCCAAGTAAACACCTCTAAAAAAAATGTTCAAACAATATGTGAAATGAAAGTCTGCCAAGTAAAATATATAAGAAAAAATTCCTCAACTGTTCCCACCTCAAAAATTAATTTCTCAGGATTGAGTTGATACTTGGCTGAAGTATAGTCCTAGTGGACCTAAATTCAACCAACAAGGTTTTTCTCTAAAATTTATCTTAACATAACTTATATAAAACTTATTCAATTACACTTTTATTATATGGGTTTCGGAAGGGATTTTTCTCTACTTTATGAATATGAAATCTAGATTTTTAAATTTTTTCTTTTAAAGCGTTTTTTCTTAAAATTTAAGAAAAAAAATTATTTTTCGTTGCTTAAGGCCGTTTTTAAATTTTTTGTTTTAGTCTCAATAAATAGAATTTTTTGAGTACTTTAAAATCACACTTTGACAGAAATGGGGTCTGCTTTTTTTCAAGATCAAATTTGAGAAATTCAAAAAAGTATATATTTGTCTAACTCAAGGAAATAAATGTTATGACTGAAGAAAAAAAATTGTATCGTAAGTACATACACTGAAAAAAATAGTATTGAACCAAGAAAATTTGACTTGGTTCAAGAAAATCGTGGAACTGAATACGGTCAAATCAATTATGCTACTGTTTCAAGAAAACCATTTACTTGGAGCAGTATATTTGAAAGAAGAACTTATGTTCTTGATCCAAGAAAATATGGAATTTGATCAAAACGTTAATCGATTTCTATGAGTAAAATATTTTCTTGTTCTTGTTCTTCTTGTTCAATATCTGTAGTTAAATCAATTATTGCATTTGATTCATTTAAATCTTTGTAATGTTCAGGGTGGCCAGCCAACCGGGAGAAAACCGGGACTGAAAAATTAATCCGGGAGATTTTATGGGTTTTGTGATTCGCTCAATTATTCGAAAATTGTTCAACTTTTAACCATCTAAAATTTCGTGTTAATTATGTAAAATATATGAGCAATTCCACGTGAGATTGAAGGGTCTATTCTCAGATTCCTTCTATACTACATTTAATCTAATTCTTTGTCAAAAAAAGAATATTAAATATTAGGGTAAGTCCGGGGGAGTAGGCCATAGTTTTTTTAAAGGTCTGTAAAAATAAAAAGAAAGTGATTTATGTATTAACTTTTATTGCTAATTAAACATTGAACATTTAACCAACACAACAAGTCTACAAGGTATTTTTTTTGAGATATCAGAGTGGTTTCCAATTTATTTTTGTGTCCTGAACACGATCCCGGGTTACAAAATTGCGTATCACGTCAGGATTTCGAGTAAAGTGGGGATAAGTCTCCAAAAACCGTGTTTATGAGGGTTTTCAGTATTTTTTTTCTCCTTAACCTGACGTGATAGAGACTTCTATATAGGCTTAAATTTATCTTATATCTTACACTTTAAGACTCATATGCGCAAGGAAAAAAAAAATTTTTAATTTCAAATAAAAATTAGGTTCAAGTCACCTAAAAAGATTTTTGGGGTATTTACCCCCATTTTTTTCAAAATTTCAAAATTTTTTTTATTATGCGCATATGGGTCTTAAAATGGACGTTTTAAAACAAGTATTTACTTATATAAATATTCGCATTTTCTTGACTCAAGTCTATATTAGAGTTGAATTAAATAGAAAATATTTCCAAGGAAACAAACGAATGATTTCATTCAAGATTATATCACTATTTCAACTGAAAAAATAAATTATTTCATTAAAGATAATATAATATTATTTCTAGAAATTAAATGGTCTTGAAGCAATATAATATGAAAATGCTTCAAGAATATGAAACACTTGGATTGATTAATGTTTAATTCAAACAATATATTTTTTAATCAAGTTGAAACAAGTATCTACTTTTATTATTTTTTTCATTTTCTTGGATCAAGACTATGAGTGTTAGATTAAGTAAAAAGTTTTTTTTTGAAGGAAACTACAAAACGATTTGACCTAAGAAAATGAAATATACTCAGCGTAAGTCACTTGACATTAGAAAATAATATTCTTGACTCAATACTTTTTCGGTTGTTGACGCAAGTAAAACAGTTCACTTGAAACAGTTAGATATATTTACTTGTATGAAACTCATATTTTCTTATTTCAAGAACATTCCTCAATGCTCAAAATTACTTGACTCAAGAAAATAAATTTCTTCCAGTAAGAAAATATCGTCTTGTTTCAAGTAAAGTACCTCAAGTAAATGCATTTCGTCGCTTGGGGGCAAAATGATGTCAATTCAGATTAGTTTTAAGAAACATGACATTCCAAATAAGATGTGAAAAACATGCCATTTAAAATGTCAAATTTTTTTTTTTTCATATTTTAGGTTCACAAAAGTAAACCAAAAAGTTGATTAACGAAATTAATTCGTTGATGAAAATGAAGTTAAAGCCTAAATAGTTAATTTAAGATCATAATTTTACAGATTTCTTTTTTAACTATATACTTTTCCCAACCTATGAAATATGTAAAAAATTTGACATTTGAAATGGCATGTTTTTCAAATCTTATTTGGAATGGCATGTTTCTTGAAACTAATCTGAATTGGCATCATTTTGACTCCAAGCGACGATTTACTTGATTCAATTACCTTTTTTTTCAGTGTAGTTGCAAAAACATAGTGTGATTATTTTTTAACTTATTGACAATAAAAGGATTAATAAAACATTAATTTCAAGACTTTTTGCAAATCTACAAATTTTTAATATAGAATAACATTTTAAGGAATGTATTTAAAAAAAAATTGTTTTTTATAACACATTCTAAAAAACTCGCATTTGTGCGTGCGAAGCGGGTTGTAACTCGAAGTTTTTAGGCAAGCTTTTTTTTCCATGTCCGAGAGTTTTTTTCCCTCTGCCGTCACCCAACCTAAAACACGAGATTTTTTTAGCATTTGTGCGAGTCAATAAACTCGGTGTTCCCACTCTTGGTGCATAATAAACTATTAAATTTACAAACTTGTTAACTTAAAAAATTTTCTTTATTGGTAGTATTTTTTCTAGGCCTCGCTAAACCTTAAAAATGATTTTTTTGTAAAAAAATTTTAAATTTTGAAAAATATTTAATCAAACAATATTTTCTCGAAAATATATCAAGATTTTTACCCTTACAAACACTATCACTGAGTATCGGAAAAATCGGTCCAGTAGATGAGCCTAAAGTTTGGCATGCGCGTTCGCGCGAAAAAAAATTTTGACAAAAAATATAATTTTTGATAGTAGTCTTCAGACAACCAAAACGCAACAATATT